GGCAACCGCGATTGCCGTTAAGAGTATGACTGGAAGTAGTAAAGCTCGCGTGGCGAGCTTGACATTGGGCTTCAGCCAACCATCGCGGAAAATGCCATTGAGAGCGGCCGCGGGACGAGACGTGGAATACCAGAGTACGAATTTGATTGCCATTTGGACATAAAGTACTCCGATAGTCCAGTCCTGCACAAAATGGATAATGTGTGTCTGTGCACCATCCAGGTACGTATGCACGGGAACCAACACGTAAAGCTCCATTACCAGAGCGAATAGTGACGGTAAGAAGACTGAGAACGCCAAAGCGATGTAGGCGAGCCGAAGGGTATTGGCTACAGCGCCAGCCAACCCGAGACAAGCCTGGCGAGGAGACTGTAAGTATGGCCTAAAACGGTCCTTCACCGCAGCAAAGCTGGTGTGACAGTACAGCGCAAGATAGGCAGCGCTACCAACTATGCAGATGCCTGCTGAGAAGGCATAGATGTCGTTCACAGGTCGGTTGGGGAAGTGCGACGACATCATTCTCCGGCCGACGACCAATGGAATAATTGTGACGCCTACGCCAGTAGCAGCCGCGAACACCCATATCGAGAAAATGAATGCGGCAATCCGCGTTCGGAAAAAGGGGGGAACGTAGACCTTCGTAAACATGGGATTCGCTCGGCTGTGTAGTCCCTCGTTCGTCTCGGGAAGGCCATCGATCCTTTCATTTGACTCTGACACCTCCAGAAACACGGAATTACCCTTAGGAATCCGGACCTGATCAGATGCAGGGGCGCGGACAAATTTACCATCCCGAACAAAGTAGGTATCAATATGCTTGTCATCAGCGTCACGTCGCTGTTCTCCATTTTTTACAGGGTGACCAGTATCTCCTTTTGCCCGCGATAGCATAGCCCACCAAGACCGTCGTACATGGTAACCTTCCTCATCGGGCTGCCTCTCATTGAAAAAGAAGTTGGTCAGTCGTAAGAAGCGTGCGCACTTATGGAACCACCAATTGTAGAGACCATGCAATCCGTCCGAAGGTTTGATTGATCGAATCACAAGCGGCATGAGGAAGTTGTAGAACAGGAGATCGACGGGGAATTCTAGGACTGGCATTGTGGCAGACCAATGGATAGGGAGCACATCGTCGAATGCATAGTACAAACCCCAGACGACACCACCAAGGCAAATAATGACTAGAGCGCCATACACAAGAGCACTGAATGCAATCTTGCGTAGTTGGGTGGTGATACTACGCTCTAGAACATCGCGCACGGGATGAAAGGTCGGATCGTCAGGATCGCGAATAAAATCTATGAAATGCTGTGAGTAGACATCATCGAAACGTAGGGGAGGTCGAGCTTACAGAGAACACCACTTCTCATGATTTTCCTGCACATGGACACAAAAAGAGCAAAGTGAAACATGTAACAGGTGCCAATGAACCAATGCACAAACAATGACGTAAGTGGGGACGACGATGTAAATTCAAGGCGCGATGCAATGGTAGCGTTCTCAAAGAGAGGTAACAATGCGGCATCAAGTAAAGTACCGCAATACAACGGGAAAACGATCATCTCAATCCCGATGATCAAGATGACTTTCATAACCCCACCAGCTTGATGCAGAACGTCGGCAACTATGCCTTCGACCCTCTGCCCTCTGTCCGCACCAGATAGCAGGCCAGTGATACGAAGGTACAGCAGACCCAAAGCTGACGCTAAGAGATAGCCCATTAAAATGGCAATGACCCGATCCTTGGTGCCCCATACGGCCAGTTCGTAATCCACAGTTATGGCACTTGAAGTTAATCCCGTCATGCTTGCATTAAACCACTTTGTGTTGGAAGAGAAGAGTACTTGGTTCCCAAATTTATAAAGTTGACCGCGAGCCTGGGGTATTACACTGATGAAATCGACAATTCCGTGTTTGAACGACTGGGAATCAGGCACTTCAATAGCAAGTAACTGGAGTGGGAAGTCGTACAACACAAATTTGCCTATTCCAAAGCATAGCCGAAACAAATTGGTGACACGCTCTTCATGTATCTTCAGTGCTTGGTGAGAGAGGACAGAGAACATGGGAACATCCGACTCATTGAACACAAAGAAGGAACTAATCACGTTGCCTAGCCGATGACTGCTGGCATCAATGAGCGAAAGTGAAGCGGTGGTTATAGACTTTGTCTGAGGAATCCAGTCACCCAGAGGAAGCAGAGCACTAAGGGGACTCAACAACAGTTTGACGATAAGACTGACCCCATACATGACATATCCCAGGATGCCAATTAAAGTGTCAAGTGTAACATCTGCAAAAACTGATACTGCCGTCATCGGGACGCCAAAGACCAGTTGTATAGGGTTGGCTAGAAGGACGAGGGCGATTTTACCCCAAAGATAAGGCAGCCAAATTCCGACGGAAACTGTGAATGATATAAGCAGCGCGCTGAATACACCATTCTGTAGGAGACCGAATATCGGACCCTGCATCCCAATGAGTTCTAGAATCCCCTCTAGGTCATCACCGTCCTCGACAGCGTCAACATCGTTCCCGTCGATTCCGGCATCCGCAAAGATCCCTTGATTATCCTGTGCGCCGGCATTGGCAAGGCGTCGATTGTTTTGCAAGGGCACAAAGGGTTCTTCCAATGCAGGATCCTCAACTACGTGTTCCTCATCCGGTTGTGGGCGTTCTTGAGCCTGATCATCAGGCGTGATGTCGGCCCAGAACCAGTCAAAGAGCTTGGTAACCAAATTCCTAGGAGGCGCAGGGTTGGGATGATCCGTCTGTGTTGGCGCCGGCACGTTTGCAGCTGGTTCCTGGTTCAAATTGGCAGTGTTGTTTGCACTTGAGGGGTCATCAGAAGTAAATTCCTGGACAGCCCCAACCAAGTCATTTGCTGACCTACGAGCATCTGACTGCGGCTCCCGATCCTCTTCGCTTCCAGGTTCGAGTTCCGGGAAATCGAAAGCGAAGTCAGTGTGCAACTGGTCCATAGCAGTATCATTTCTAGCGTGTGGGCTCGCGATATCCCAGGGCCGACCAACAGGAGTTGACGACTGAGATCCAGTGTTCCAGTGAGGATCCGGTAGCGATGGACCTGCGGAAGCGATTGTGTTGAGCCTTGTAGGCTCCGAGTCTGTCTCGCCCGGACGCGGGACATAACTAGATGGGCCTGGGGAGCTTTGGTTATGAGGCCAGGATACTATAGGACTATCACTGCGCTGAAGCTTTGTCATGGCTGTGACAATCCAGCCGAGCTCATCCTGACGGCCCTCTTCGTGTATGATTCTTAGGACCTGTTCAGGGTCACCGTGACCACGTGACCAGAGGTCCCTGAAGGTCTCGACGCCTGGCCAGGTTTGATTGATCTGGGAGGCTGATTCCGCTGCAAGATCATTGCTCGATTCATCGTCATCGCTCTCAAGATTCCGACGGAAGGAAGCCGATGTACTGAGTTCATCCACAAACGCCATATCATCATCCCGAGCCGACATGTTCCTAGAAGGGGAGTCCGCCTCAGCTACAGCGTGAGGGAAGGCATCGTCAGCGTGACCGAAGCCATCTTCATGGCCGTGAGCTTCCTGTTCCTGCGGTTCGTCGTCTGGATGTAGATGTCTATGATCTCCTAGGCGAGGATTTTCGTCCACAGGATTTGGTCGATTATTCGCTATTAGCTGGACAGCCGCTTCTCGTTCTCCATCGGCGATATTGGCCATCGGTTGTTGCTGGACAACCCATTCACGGATCAGGAAAATTAAAATAAAGGATATCACAACAAGCAACGTAATTAATTGGCCCTCCAATGTGTCGATAAGAATATTGTTAATCGTGGGAGACGGTGTCATATTATTCAAAAATTTGACGTCAGACAGCCACGAGGGATGCCGCTGTTTATAGAACCCTACCGTTATATTTGAAGTCCTTCCGGTTGTTGAACTGGAACTTGAGGACATCGCCGGAAAGAAAAGGGCAGAAAATGATTTTTTGACAATGGTGAGTAGTAGCGGCTCGCCTGATGAGAAGCTAAACATTGACGATGGCGGTGACGGCATAGACTGCGTATCGGCCGTGTTTGTTTCAAATGTAGAGGCCAGGGCTGAGCTTGTCGCAACACCTGCACCATGAAGCGAAGCAGTGCTGTTTGCAATTACTTGAGAAAGGCGTTCCTGGGTCGGTCCTTGCATAGCGTTATCCCCACCGGACCAGCGGCCATCTGCAAGCCAGAACAGTGCTCGCCAGATCGCCCTCATGGACCAGGGTAACCATCCAAGCCAGACGAATGCAACAAGAACGAATCGCAGCCATGTCACCACGGTGCGAAAGCTATGAACCAACAATTGCTTCAGGAATAGTGGCGTTGGCAAATCCCGAGGCATGTTTGGGTCGTATAGCTTTGTAAAGCGGAACGGTGTTTTGCACAGCTCACAATGCTTCTTCTGTGAGTGTGATAGCCACTCCACCAAGCATGCCTGGTGGACAAATTTGATACTACCACTGCATTTGCAAGGGTAGAACAGTTGTTCTTCTTCCGTACCTTCGCCCCGACATATTCGGCAAGTATCAGGTTCTTCCAAGTCCCTTTCCTTTCCTCTGTAATTTGTAGCGTACGCTGGGTCATTCATCACGTCTGGAAAAGATGGTGCGGCGCTTCCTGCATAGTCGAAGCGTTGATCGGTCGGGGGTTCCATGATTTCGACAAGCTTGAGTCGACGATCCGATCGTCATTAAAAGCGATAACAAGATACCATGTCTATAGTTTCCCCGAGTCGCAAAGTGACTAGGAGTGAGATATGAGGCCGGCGAGCTAGGGTACCTATGCTAAGTCCCCTTACCCTCGAAAACAAAGAATATTTGAGAAATGATGACAAGCATCGATGTCAGTTTACCATAGGAGATGATGACTCAGCACTGGAGACGCCACATATTGTATCACGTGGGGTTACAGTATGTTACAGCTAGGGACAGAGTTGATAACTACCGGTGAGGTACCCTAGTGTAACATGTTGTAAGACGGCAGATGGGCTGAACTAAACGATGACCTCACTTCAGCCTTCGTGCATTTATCCTGAAGTCCCTGTTAGTTTGATGCTATTGTGGTTGAACTTTCTTCGAGCAATTTTTACGTATTGGGATAAACCAGCTCTTTATTGACTGTATTTATTGGTTTCTACGAAGTGCATCATATTTCACCAAAAAAACACGCGCCAAGACCTGGACCTTCGTCGCGTAAGAGTCTTGTTGAACTTAGCGAAGGGCTAGGTTATCGAGTCTAGCCTCCGGTTCCAATTTCTGCTGAAACACAGACGGTGTGGCTCCGTGATGCAATTGCGATGATCTAGAGAGCTCCGGCAAGTTGTTCGAGTCCTGTAATCATTTGAATTATACGCGCGACGGCACGCAAGCGCTAGCATCTAGCGACTCAAAACAGACTCCAATTACCGAGGCGAGGTCACCAGCGATGACCACCTCAGATAGCGGGCATGCCTCAGAAGGCATTGTTAAGGATGTGGGAAATAAAGCGGTCCAACCAAAATCTAGAAACACAAATATTTTCCGATGGACGCTCGGATTGGTGGTGCGGTATGCTTGCATTCATGTCTTGGTATAGTTTTTACAGCCACGATCTGACAAACAACCTATTAATTTAGGCTTTGTATCTGGTATATATTGCTCACCCCATTTTTCCGATGCCCGGCTCAACTATCGGATTTGAACGAGTCCTCTCCGCGAGTCTGCAAGCCGTATCTCGTCGCCAGATCCTATGTTGAGCCCCACCTTCTTCCATACTACAACACTTACGGCGCGCCTTACATTGAGAAAGCCCGTCCGTATGTGGTGGTTCTCAATGAGAAGGTTTATACTCCTGCCGCGGATGCCGCTAAGCTTGGCTATGATAAATATGGTGCACCTGCTTTGGACCAGGCTTATGCTTACGGATCCAAGCAGTGGGAAAAGCAAGTTGCGCCTCTTCTACAATCCGCAAAGGATGGTGCGAGCGAGTTGTATGATGCCGAGGTAGCACCTCAAGTCCGAAGGGTCACGGCAGCGGTGTCGCCTTACTATCAGAAGGCGAACTCCGCCTTTGAGACAACATGCGTTGGTTATATTCAACCTTTCCTTGCTCGGACAAGACCCTTCATTGGAAAGACATATACCTCTGGTCAGAATGTTCTAACAACTACGGTCATGCCCTATGCTCAAACGTCATGGTCATCCGTTATCTATTTTGTGAACAGCTGGCTGTGGCCACAAGTTACCGGTCTTTACTCCGAAAATGTTGAACCTCAATTAGTCAAAATCGGGCAGAGGCTAGCCAGCTATCGTGAGGGAAAGCAGCTGCGCAAGGTTGTGGATGAGGTCAACAAGTGAGTTTTTGATCCTACCGAATACCCTCAGTTGGCTGACCTCGAGTGCCTCAAGCTCTTCGGAACGACAGGCTAGTGTTGTTCCCACATCATCAGAAGCCAGCAAAACCGAATCATCTTCCACAACTTCTACAACTGTGGTTGCATCCACATCTCGCGCATTGTCCCCTACAGAATTGGCAGCACAAACTCGGGAGAAGATCGAGTCAGACCTGCGGACCTGGCAGGAAAAGTTTTCAGTGGCTGCTGATAAGGGTATCGAAGATCTTGAAGAGCGCCTATACGAGCTTGCCGGGGATTATGTAAATGGCGGGGCCAAGTATCATGGGGAGAGCCTTGTAACGGCTCTGGGAACCGCTGTGGAACACGAGCTCTCGGCTGTCAAGCTTCGTATAAGCGAGTTGACTGAGGCTTTGCCTAATGAATATTCTCCCGCGGAGCAAACGGCGCAAAGTGAACTTCTTAAGGACATCAGACAAGCCGCAGTCATCATTAGGGATCGCGCTCATGCTATCCGAGAATGGCACAATTCATTTGATCAGGAATTAGTGCACCGTGTCTCTGCCACAGTAAATTCTACCCTAGATGTGCTTGACAGTGTGCGTGACCTGGGGCTTCAGGAAATAGGGATGCGCTGGGCTTGGATGGATGGTGTTACCTACAAAGATTGGGCAAGGTATCATGCACTGAAAGCACAGTTTGAAGATTGGAAGGGTAAATTCCGGGAGGTTGGCATGCGTCATCCAAAATTGGAAGATGCCAGGGCACTCTCAGATGATATCTTATCTCGTGGAATGGATACCGCCGAAGCTGCCGCGAAAGAGCTTTCCAGGCTGAAAGATGTCGGTAGATGGAAGATTGCGGCTCGGGAAGTAAGTGACAACTTCGATACTAGGTCCGGCCCTCCTCCACGACGGCCAATGCCTAGTGAGCCGACTAAACCCGCTCCCCAAGAGCATACCCTAGATACAGACTCTGCATATCACGAAGCTTCAATGCAGCATGAAGCCGGCAACGCTAGCTCAGCAGCACAGGGTATTGCGGAATCCGAAGACCAAGCGCTGGGCCTTGACGATGCACCTATAGCACATGACCAAGTCACGTCGGAGGGCGAGGAATCTTCAAGCGAAGAACTGGAGCCATCTGATGCTCGTGCGGAATCTGATAGTCATATAGAGACCGACCCACTCACAGCCCAGCAAACTGGCAGGGAGGAAGACACCACGAGATCCACCTGGGGCGTAGCTGCAGCTGAAGCTATGTCGAAACAAGGCGGAGCCGAATTCGAGGAAGTTCCCGAGAATATTCACAGTGCCTTAAATCGTGCTCGTGAAAACTATGCGGGAGCTGAAAGATCAGCTGGAGCGGGATCATCTAAGTCACTTGAGCAGGTGGCTCGCGACCAACTCGATGACACCGACAACCTTCATAAGCCGCAAGCACCAAGCCCTTCCAGCGCTCATTATGAAGCTATTGAAAACCTCGTCTCCGAGCTGCTCGCCGGCAAAGACCCTTCTTTTGCCCAGGACGTGATGGACAAACTACACGCTATTTATGGAACCACGCAATCCGAAGCACAGAGAGATTATGTTGCAAACGATAGGACGGCTTCCATTCCATCCTCATCGGCTACTAGCATGCCCGTTGGTGAAGACTCTGTAAGGGATAACTTTGAACAACCTGAAGGTTTTACACCTGTTGCGGAGTCTGCCACTAGCAGCGATGCTTACACCCCAAGCGAGCCTGCTTTTCCTTTGGAAAGCACAGAGGAACAGCACACAAGGACTGCTACCAACGAAGGCGACTTCATTCTGGACACCACCGAGACTGCTGCATATAGTATGCAGAACTCGGGCGACAGCCTTGAAGAGACACCTGTTAGAGACGATCTATGATCCAGAAGATACGCAAAGTTTGCTTGCTGCGAACCCAAATTCCGTGTGGATTGGAGAATATATGGTTCGGTGCAACGCGATACACTCATGAATGATATCCCCCTCTTTTATTCATTCCCACTAGCTTGATTATCCTATCAGATTGATCATGACCTTAATTATTCCCCACATAGTTTTCTGCGAGTATGTTTCGGTACATTATATTGCTGATTTTTTTTATGTTTGCGTATACTCCTGCAGCCTAATGATTGTTGTATGCACTAGCACACCAGTGGATTTGTAAGTCTATATATGTGCACATCATTATCGTACATTCATGTGAGAACGTAATTCAACACATTTTTCTTCATACTATGTATGCTCAACATTGTAAGATATTGTACCCAATTCTTTCATAACGAGGAGATCGCCCATACTGTACATGCAATAGTTGATTCCAGCAGATCATCGGTACTGTACTCTCTGGCCTCCCCTTTTCTCCATCTTCTTCTGCCTCTTACTCTCCGCAACAGCTGGTTCTGTTCCGCCCATTCCGGCAAGTCCGCTCTTCATCCCTGTGAAAGTGGTATATGCCAACCAGACGGAATACAAGGGCACCACAATCCACAACCACCAGGCCCGATCGCCAAAGACACAGACCGCGCCAATACAACCCCATGTCCAATACAAGACATCCCACATATATTCTGTTAAACCGGCTGCCCCAAGGTCCTCTCCAGGAGAGCGAAGAGAGCCATCAGCGGGATTATAGCGTGGACGGCCGAGGCGGTCCAGATAGAATTCGATAGCTAGAGTCGGACACGCAAGGACAATATAAGGCGTTAAAGAGCGTGGGCGGTTGAATATCCAGTGGAGAAGTAGGAAGACTGCATGAAGACAAAAAGTAGTGATATGGGTACGGAGTAAAAGGGAGGCATTTCGAGTCGCGAGAGTTTTTGCTGCTTTCTTGAGAGAGAGTCAGCCCTTTAGCTGCCATGGACATACGAGACAAACAGGGTATAATGGAATTGAGGGAAACAAACTTGTGCCATGTTGATCGGTCGTCCAAAGATTAGTAGTACTGAAGTATTAATTTCGGTCGTGTCGTTTGATGTGCTCAGAATGAATGTAGATAGTTGTAGATCGTAGCAATCGATAGCTCCTTGTAGATATTAGGTTATATATACAGAAACTAGGCCATTTCCCCTAATAGCGACAGATCAAGATCGAAGCTAGTGCGGAAGCTCAACGTGGTACTTTAGTTCGCTGGTGGAACTTTTTGGACTGACAGACGATTAGGGAATGGCGTTGCCCACCACAACCAGACAAGCGCCCGCGCCTCCACCAGCCACTGAAAGGTGGTGCATTGAACTGCCGCCCCAAAACATCTGATGGCTGAAAAGACATCGTGACGACAATCAGGATCGCCTCTGCCACATCCCACTGCATCTCTCTTGGCGAGACTTTGCTGACCCCGCGCAGCTCTCCTCTTTCAACTGTTCGACCATCATTCGCGACATGCAATTTACTCTCCTCTGAGTCTTAATCTGGCCCAAAGGGGCGTCACGAGTTGGCCGGACGTCATTCACTCTCCGAGACACGACCCTGTATAATATCGCGGGTAAAACAATTGAGGGATTCTGTGAAGGAAGCTATAGGGAAACGTCTCTCAGAGCGATACTATCACTCATTTCCCTCGGTCGGCGGTCCCCTGGCTATTAACACAACTTTGCATCCGCGCATCACAAAGAACCTTGTGGTTCCCTCGTCGCCGGAATTTCTATCAAAGAGCGCTAGGTCTCACGTACTGCCTACCAAATGCTTGCTCTTCTTGAGCCAACTTGCCCCTGATTGTTTCCTACCTATCTACTCGATCCTCCACCATCGTCACGACCGACACCGCGCCTTGTTCTTAAATCGCCAGATTTCTCCGTGCCCTCAAGCCTAAACATTCACACCCCAACATGTCGCCGTCGACATCCCATATATCGGGGCAGTTGAGGCAGCTAATATACTATCATCTTGATAACAATCTGATCCGAAATGCGCTATTCCTTGCTGGTCGTCTGCATGCCTATGAACCTCGAACATCGGAGGCTTCCTATCTACTCTCCCTATGCCATCTACTCAACGGGCAGATAAAGGCAGCTTATGATTACAGCAAGAACTTTGGGTCGAGGGGTACTCACTTGGGCTGCTCTTATGTGTATGCGCAGGCGTGTCTGGACTTGGGAAAGTATCTTGATGGCATTACGGCGCTGGAACGGAGCAAAAGCCTTTGGACTTCTAAGAATCATTGGAGTAAGCATTCCGTCCTTCGTTTCTCACTGTATACGTAGGCTAAATACTCTCGTCAATGTGGCTGAGGCTAATAATCTCCTGTCGAATGTATAGACAAACACAGCGAAACACGCAGGCAGCACCTACCCGACGCGGCCGCTGTTCTGTGCTTGCAGGGTAAACTATGGCACGCTCATAAAGACCTCAATAAGGGAGTAGAATGCTACGTCGAAGCTTTGAAACTGAATCCTTTTATGTGGGATGCCTTTCTGGGTTTGTGCGAGACAGGTGAGTTTTGGATGCCTGCCCTAGCATTGCACTAAAAAACTGATCGCCCTGTGAAGGTGTCAATATTCGAGTCCCTAATATTTACAAAATGAGCTCCGAACTACTTTCTGTTCTATCGTCATCACAGGAAGATATCGATCTCCCCCCTGACAAAGTTGTACCTGCAGGTGGGCCGTTGCAGGCTTCAGCAAATGTGAATCCCAGCCTGGACCCCTTTATGTCTGCCGCGTCCCGCAGTGATTCAGGCACTACACATGGAAGCTCTGCCTTATGGGAGAAATTAAACGGAAGCACAGTCAGTGTGGCATCGAATGGGACATCAACACCAGCTGTTCGGGAAGGAACAGAAACCCCGGGTGGCCAGAGCAGTGAGTCTGATGAATTTCGCGTGGCTAATGGGATTGGGGATACATCGTGGGAGCCTCCCTTAGCTCCGGCCAGAAAAAACCGCACTATTCAGTCGTTCGGGGCAGATCATGCAATGGATCCTCCGCCGAAAATGAAGCCTACGGGTATTAGACAAAGGACGAGAATGAGAGTTGAACAAGAGGAACAAACGACAACCCAAGTAGAAAAGGAATCTATGACGGGATCCAGAGTTGGCGACCGCAAACGAACGGTTTCCGGTCAGGTAGCTCATCCATCGGCACCAACAGAACCAGGAGCTCCTCAACGCCGCAGCGTACGTCTTTTCAACCAGATTAAGCCAACAACTAGCAAGCTCTCAACCACTGCATTAGGCACAAAGGATGGCAGGGAGCTCAAAAAGGTAAAAGCTACTGGTGCTAAGGGGCGTACTACGACAAGCACGAGTGTAGGTCGTGTTGTGAGCGGCAATAGGAAGCATGCCGGTGAGATACACGAGAGCGATGGGAAAGAACATCGTCCTGTATCGACTGTTCATAATGGGACTGCCAATGTTACCTCTAAAACCGCGACGATTGAAAAGTCGAAGTCCATTGAAGCCCTGACTTGGCTGTTGGAGCTTTTCTCAAAATTGGCTTCGGGATACTTTGCTTTGAGTCGTTATCGGTGTACTGATTCTATACAAATATTCAATGCGCTTTCTCAGGGTCAGCGAGAAACGCCTTGGGTTCTTTCGCAAATCGGGCGAGCGTACTATGAGCAAGCAATGTATTCAGACGCCGAGAAGTATTTCGTGCGGGTGAGAAACATAGCACCGTCCAGGTTGGATGATATGGAGATTTACTCGACTGTTCTCTGGCATTTGAAAAATGATATCGAACTAGCCTATTTGGCGCATGAGCTAATGGAGGTCGATCGTTTATCACCCCAAGCATGGTGCGCCATTGGCAATTCCTTCTCACACCAACGCGATCACGACCAGGCCCTAAAGTGTTTCAAGCGAGCGACACAATTAGACTCTCATTTCGCCTATGGTTTTACCTTGCAGGGACACGAATATGTAGCAAATGAAGAATACGATAAAGCTCTGGATGCTTATCGGCAGGGCATCAGTGCCGATAGCCGCCACTACAATGCGTGGTACGGATTGGGTACCGTATACGACAAAATGGGCAAACTTGACTTTGCTGAACAACATTTCCGTAACGCAGCAAGTATTAACCCTACAAATGCGGTGCTCATCTGTTGTATTGGTCTGGTCCTGGAAAAGATGAACAGCCCAAAGGCAGCTCTGATTCAATATGGACGAGCCTGTTCATTGGCACCGCATTCCGTCCTTGCTAGGTTCCGCAAGGCTCGCGCATTGATGAAACTGCAAGAGCTCAAATTGGCTCTAGCAGAATTGAAGATCCTTAAAGATATGGCCCCAGACGAAGCAAATGTGCATTATCTCTTGGGTAAACTCTACAAAATGCTGCATGATAAGGCCAATGCTATCAAGCACTTCACCACGGCATTGAATTTGGATCCCAAGGTAAGGGTCATATCAACGTTACACGATGGTGATAGGATCACTAACCCTTCTACCTTTAGGCGGCACAATACATAAAGGACGCTATGGAATCACTAGATGACGAAGAGGAGGACGATGAAGATATGGCTTGATTTCTACGGCTTTCCTTTCCCACCCCGGTCCCAAGCTTTCCTAAACATCCGCACATATGACATATTCTTTACCTTGCTCTCATCTGCTTCGGTTTCTCAACATTTGGTCTTGAGCCACGTCCCTGCTTGGGGTTCTAATTCATGACGGTTGGCGTTTTTCACTATTTTTCTCCTTTCTGGGTCAAATCTGCGTGAGCATCAGCATTACACGGGCGTTAACAGGCCGGTTGGGTAGAGAGTGCGTTTCCCAGCATCAGGCTCTCGAAAAGGTGTCCAGGCTCTTTGGTTCTGTACATTAGCGTGGGTTGGCTTTCTCGCGTTTTAACTGCGAATGAGACATGAAGACACCAGGCGACAGATTCGTGGACATATACCGTCTGTCGTGCGAGGCATTTTCATAATCAATTTATCTTTATGCAAACATTCTTTTTTACTCTGTACATTTGGAGGAACTCAACCGAGGTAAAGCCAGTAAGACGCTCATGAAATGCACTGTCACCTGCACATCAGGGAAGGGAAGGCGGTGAGCGGCCCAACAAAATTCGCCAGAAAAAGGCGGAAGTGGAAAGACCATTGTGTGGTAGTTCAGTTTCACTGCATTTGTCTACTTTATTGGGGTCCTTAATATTCCTAATGTTCTTCTTCTAAGTGTTCGTGGGAGTCTCTTCTTTCTATTAATATTTATATCGGCCATTGCCATGCCCCAACCGCTTCTGTGATTCTCCCGTGTACCCCTGCTGTTCCCGAGACTCTCTCGCCTGACCTCATCACAACTGGACAGTAGCAAGTAAGGATGTTCCTTTCTTTCCTTAGACAGCTTATATAGTTCTAACGCTCAACTTGGGGACTAGGATTTTTCTTATAGACAGCCTCTTGTTCTTCTCACCATGTCGTTCCTGTCCTACGTTGCCTCGGGCATTAGCTCGTTCGTCGTCGTCACGCTTTCACTTTTCACCCTTGGCCAGAAGATTCCCCGCGCAGCGTTCGTTGCTCGCTGCTTGGCCTCCTACGGTTCTCTTCTCCTATGTGCCACTTATGGCGTAATCGCTTCGATTGTCTTGCGCCTGGTCGGCTACGGACGGGTGTCGCAATGGGCCACCGCGCGCAGCTTCAAGTGGGTCATGCGGTATACAACCGGTGTACACTTTGACATTGTTGAAGGCCAGGAGCATCTCTCCACCCGGCCAGCGGTCTTTATCGGAAACCATCAATCGGAGCTGGATGTCCTCATGTTGGGTTCTATTTTTCCCCCGTACTGCAGTGTCACGGCCAAGAAATCGCTACGCCATGTGCCCTTCCTTGGTTGGTTCATGTCTCTTTCTCGCACCGTATTCATCGACAGGGCCAATCGCCAGACGGCTGTAAAGGCTTTCGACAGCGCTGCAGAGGAGATGCGCAACCACCGTCAGAGTGTCTTCATCTTTCCCGAAGGCACAAGAAGCTACTCGGACAAGCCGGGGCTATTGCCGTTCAAGAAGGGCGCTTTCCATCTCGCTGTGAAAGCCGGGGTCCCTATTGTTCCTGTTGTTTCTGAGAATTACTCGCATGTTCTGTCTCCCCGGCACTGGAGGTTCAATGCTGGTTCAATCCAGGTCAAAGGTACGCTTTTCCTATCCTTATCCCCTTTGAGCAAATGCATATGTGAACGAGACTGACACATCGTAGTCCTCCCTCCCATCAGTACTGAGGGTTTGACTGCGGCTGATGTCGATGCCCTGACTCAGTCGGCTCGCGAATCCATGCTCAAGACTCTACTCGAGATGTCCGAGAAGAACGATACCGAGGTTGACAACTCGCTTGCCAATGGTACCTCTACTGCCGTTGAGATCTGACTTCGTTGCATTGAGTTATGACAATAACCCTTTACTTCCTCGGCATCCCCTTCATCGAACGCCAGATCCCCGCATCATTGCACGAACAAGTTGAAACGCGACATGAGACATGAATACCGGGCGTTATTGTCCCTCGTACCACCCGCTAATAATCATTGTCTTCTGTTCTCCAGCACAGAACCCGTGACAGGACACTTCAATAAATTCGGTCTAGAAACAAGGGCCTGGGTTTTGCATTACTTGTAGACATGAGAAACAACTTGAGACAGAGCGGTCGGCCCCGATGAAACGTTCATTATAATCGCTTCCTATACCTCGTGGATAGGATCTTTTACCCCCAAGGTGTATATAATGTCATCCGTTCAGGAGTACCGGGGTTTCCCCCTCCCGTTGTATATCCTGGACCCATTCTGTATGTAGGCTACCAGATCAATAGAGCATATCCACTTGCTGTTCGAACCTTACGTGCATGTTTATATAAACGTAGAATTGCGGCACGACGTCAGCGGGGACGAAACTAAATCTATTTCAAACATTGGCAAACACCCGTCGCGCAAGGTCGTACATCTTTTTCGATGTCAATCTTCTCCAACCGCTGCCATGGATCTGCACCAGCTCTTCCACTTCCCCGCCCAATACCACCTCCTCTTGCCGCGGTAGCAATAAGATAATCCTTTTCAAATGCAACAACCTCAACTCTCACATCCTCCGCCTCCTTCCCATACAACCATGTTTTGACCCCAGTATACGGTTCACCCCAGGGTTGCACGTCCCGGACTGCGGGCTCCGGCGCAAGAACATTCGTGAACACCAATTCTCTCAACCACGGTGCCAATAACGCTTCCCCAGTCATCTTGATATATGCTTCTTTCAACGCCCAGTAGGTATAGAACAACCGGAACCCGTATTTCACAAGGCCGTCCTCGTCGTTACCAATATGTGAAGGCACTCCATGCAAGCTTTTGATGGTATCCAGCTCGCGCTGGGAGAAGACTTCAGAGAAAATACCGACGAACTCCTCCAATGCTTGCCTAGTTTCTGGGGTATTGCGGCGCTCGTTCACACAGGTGATGTCTATTCCTACTTGGGTTATAGTTTCGGGGGGTGTAGTGGTGGGATTGGTGTTTCTAATAACATTGGTAGGCGCAATCGAGTCATTGTTGCTTGACGGCGGCAGAATCGTCCCTGCGAGAGCTACCAGGGATGCTTGATGACTGACATTAAATTCAATGTTTGGAATTGGCTTGTCTGTAGCTGCAGTCTCGATGAAGCCTGTAGGGTTGAAGTAAGGCCGATGATGTGGTGCTGGCGTTCGGCTGATGGTAATTTGGCTCCATGGGATGCGACATATTCGGTGAATGAAGAGATATTTCAGGAGATTAGAGGCAAGGGACATATGCTTGTCTTTTAGGTGATAGAAACGTTTGGACGACTCCTGCTCTGATGGTTGGAGTGTTTCCAGTAGAGGGAGGGATGAGGTGGTTGCTGTTAGGTCCCGAGTGTCGATATACCACCGTACCATGTAATTGCTGGGCTCATCTTGTGATGATTGCATGTTTAAGGCGCTGGGGATGGAGTACTATGAAGCGGGGTGATGAGACGTAGAGCAGCTTTGTTGATAGACTGCCTTCAGTGCGGGGAATGTTTATTTGTGAAGTATACCGAGTATTTAGTAGAGCAAATAGTAGAATAGCTCAACCACCATCATAAATCCATGGTTATTAATGAATATGTCGAATTGTCTTCTTGATTAACAGAACACTCAGCTAGAAACAGAGATTCATAAATTCTCCGTACAGAATAAGCAGAGGTCACGTTTCTCAATTTGATCACCGTGCAGGAACGCCTTATCATGCGGGGCAGCACGTGGAGATAGCTCGGATATATGTTGATCCGGCGATATATACAGGCCGTGAGTGGCCAACACTTGACTCATTTTCTATGAATTATACAACATTGAAATGAGCATCACCGTCGGGGTTCTCGCCTTGCAGGGCGCATTCTACGAGCATGTACAACTGTTGAAACAAGCAGCAGCCAATTCAGCCACAGATACCAAAGCTTCGCCTCAATGGAAGTTCATTGAAGTGCGAACCCCGCAGGAATTGGATGGATGCGATGCGCTAATCTTGCCTGGTGGCGAGAGCACCACGATCTCTCTTGTCGCAGCTAGGTCTAATCTTTTAGAACCTCTGAGGGATTTCGTAAAGTATGACTTCTCAGAAAGCCTGCTCTGCTTCCGAAAACTGACCATTTATCCACGATAGGGTCCATCGCAAGCCAACTTGGGGAACCTGTGCCGGGTTGATTTTACTTGCGGAGTCCGCCAACCGGACAAAGAAGGGTGGTCAAGAGCTTATCGGAGGTTTAGATGTGCGCGTAAATAGGAACCACTTTGGTCGTCAAACCGAGAGTTTCCAAGCGCCATTGGATCTGCCGTTCCTGAACTCTTGCGAGCAAGACCAGCCTTCTTTCCCGGCTGTTTTCATCAGAGCACCTGTTGTCGAGAAGATTTTGCCACACGAAGAGGGTATCCAAATAAGCGAGGTTCAAAGAGACGAAACTGTCGTTGCGCCTTCAAAACATGCGAAAGACCAGGCTGCTCTGGACGCAGCGGCAACGCAGGTTGAAGTGCTGGCAACACTTCCAGGCAGAGCCGCTAAACTGGTTAGTGAGGGGAGGAACATCGACGCAGACAAAGAAGCTGGCGATATCATTGCTGTCAAGCAGGGAAATGTTTTCGGGACAAGCTTCCATCCTGAGCTCACTGGCGACGCCAGGATCCATTCATGGTGGCTGCGCCAAGTGGAGGAGTCCGTGAAAAGGAGGAGGAAGTTAGAGCAATGCTAGTTAATGCTTTGCATTATAGAAAGAGTTTGTATAGAAAGACTCGTCGATAGATTGGGTATCGGATGTAAATATTCTTTTGTTGATGCCGTTCCTTCTACCAAATCAAAGAGATATAATGCATGCAAACGCCGTACATGCGCCAATCAGACAAAGACCCATCAAGATTACCTACCCTTACCATATTCTTCTTCTTCCCGTTGTCTCTGATCATCTGCATAAGCCCGTCCATAACCGCCACGTCCTGGGTCGTACTCTTCTCGGTATTCGTCGCGGACCTGACCACCAGATTTACCGCGACTGCAAGGATATTAGAAACGATTCAGCCTATGGGGAATGAGCGCTTCTCCACATACCCGTATTGTCTTCCTTCCTCGAAGCCAGGGTCAAGATCAGTCCGGATAATCCTCTCATCGAGCTTGGTGCCGCCAATGTATTTCAAGCAATCCAACGCATCTTGGTGTGTGTAATACTCGACGAAACAGAAGCCACAGGGAGTCTTCGTATATCGGTCGAGTCCCATCACAAGTCGTTTTACCTCTCCACATCTGAGTTTATCAGTTAGTATACGATCTTCAGCACGGTCGTTGCGTGGTATCTGACTTTGAGAAAAGTTCATGGATCTGTTCCTCTGTTGTGTAGAAAGAACTGAAATAGTTAGTACACGAAGAGAGGCCCATTATGAACCGTCGGCGAAGCAGGGGACATACAGATTACCAACATAAAGAGTGGTAGCATTTTTTAAGTTGTCCGATGGATCTTCTGCAACCTTCTCTGGTTCATCTTGGCTGTACTTGCGCTTCTTGTTCTGTATACATAAGATACGTGTTAATTATCTCTGCGATCCAGCCAGCTGTCCTCGAAGACGTTTTGTGAAGCTATACCTTTCCCACGTAGTAGGCGCTCGGCCGATCGAGCCTGTCCACGGTGTTACGTGGTGATACGGTCATGGTCGAGAAAAGACGATAAAAATTCGATGATAATTGGGTAGAGCCCACGATAAGATAGGCAAAGAAGAAAAAGAACTGAAGACAATGAAGGAGCAAGTTGAGCGCAGGAGGTTGTAGCAGATGCAGTCAAGGAAAGCTCACCAATGGAGCTTGTTCACGGAAACTTACGCTATTCTTGGCGCGCGCCCGTTGTCTTAGTGGTGCTTCCGCCTAAATTTCCCCAGACACTGTTTTGTTACCGGCGCATTCTCCCGTCTTTATTCCCAGCACTGTCATTATTTCATTTAACAACCTTGTCGCCGGCAGGGGGTGGAAGTATAGTGCCAAATTCGATTTCTGTGTGGAATAGATGCTTCGACAATGCCGAAAGTGATCAGTTACACACCTCCGTGGCTCTCACGCCCTTCTCCCGGAGCCTCATTGTTCTCAGGCACGGCTCCGCAAGCTCCAGAGAATATTTCAGGCAAGCTTCGGCAAGAAATTGATTATGCTGGGCCTACTCGCGTATTGGCAAAGAGAGGGAACGAAGCGTTTACCGTGGTCGACAACCAGATCCGTTGGTCGAGCCTAGCGCGTTTGAAGAACGAATGGCAGCAGCAGACAAGATCAAGGAAAGGCACTCCTGACAAGAAAGAAGACTCAGAAGGACAATCGGATGCTAGCGACAGTGTGCACTACAGGGTATGGCGAATTCTATTACGGAATTGGCTACTATTATAATATACGACTGACAACCATCAGGTCTTGACAGTTCCAGTTTACGAACAAATCCGCCAACTCATACCTTCCCCCAATGGCGCTTTTCTGGCTATCGTTGCGGACCATACGGTTCATATTGTCGTGCTTCCGGATCCATCTCATTTGTCTGGAACTGACAGCTCGCCGATTCGTGTCAAGACCTACCAGCTTGGGCCTACAACGCACGTGATACCCGAGTCGCCTGTAGTATCAGCTTTATGGCATCCGCTTGGAGTTCACAGCAATCTTGGAGGCTGTATTGTTACCGTCACCGTAGATGCCGCTGTACGGGTCTGGGAGCTGGACCGAAATAATCAATGGTCTTTCGACCGTCCTACTCTAGCGATCGACTTGAGAAAGCTAGTGGATGGCACTTCTTCTGACGAGGACTTTTCGCCATCCGGCTTTGGAAAGAACAAAGGGTTCTCTGCGGATTATATTGATATGGAAGTCGCATCCGCTTGCTTTGGAGGCGTAGGGAGTGAGAAGGAGGGCGCCTGGGCACCAATGACCTTGTGGGTTGCGATGAAACCGGGTGACCTTTACGCCCTTTGTCCGCTACTGCCCTCTAAATGGAGAGCCCCAGCTACTACCGTTCCTTCGCTCTCCGCGGCTATAATTCCAAAGCTGGCAGCTCTTGAGGAGGATCCCGCCGATTTTGAGGATGAGCTGACTGCCTGCCGGCAACAGTATGACTGGTTGACGGAAATTGATAACCAAGACCCCCTGCATGTTTACGAATCAGATACGGGCCCCGAGTCGGAAATCCTTACTCGCCCTGCCAACCCCAGTGCGATCCCCAGACTGCAAGGACCATTCCGGATAGATACAGGAGATGAGGTCGATGACTTGGACCTCTGCGATCTTCATGTTATCGCTGCCAAAGTTGACGTTGATGCCCTCATGATGGGCGAGGAGGATGAGCTTTTGCTTGAGGACAATGGAGAGGACAAGCTGTCAGCTACGGTTATCTGTCTTTCTACAGGAAGTGGAAGAGTTCACGTTTGCCTTGAACTTGACGGGGTAGAGGGGCAGTGGCTTCCTAGGGCTAGAAAAAATGCCTTTAGGACCCCACTCTCAGAGCCATCTGACCTCGTCTTGGTGGAATCGTTGGACACTATGAGGGAAGGACAACATTCGTTAAAGAACTGGCCGACATTTACGAAAGACGTGCATTCGAGATATAGCTTCTTCGTGACTACCGAGAACAATGTAACGTTTTTCTCCCTTTCTTCGTGGGTTCAGAGACTTGAGGCGGAACTTCAATCTGAGGACACAAGTGGCTCGGGCTTCCGTTTGGAGGTTCTCTGTGAGGGCACTGTGTCTCTGAGAGAACGCATTCTTCAGACAGACGAGGCCCATAGAACTGCGAAGGATCAACCAGACCATCTCCCGTCCTCGGTGATCTATTATGATTACGATCTTGGCTACTTATTACTGACCTATCATGGTTCTCATCCATATGCTGCTATCATGGATACTCCTGAAGTTTCTTTCCCATCACTGACAGAACTGAATCCGGATGCCCGTGTTCCTGGCTCCCCTGTGCTGCCACCACGCCGGCCGCCTTATCAGGTTCCCGCTATCTTCTACTCTGATTCTCCCCTAGAATTCTTCGTCGACAAACATATTCCCCATCGCCAGCGACACACTCTCAAGGAACAAGTTCGCCTGTCTCCGGCGACGTTAGACCTGGTGGCCGCTGCACATCGGATTCTGTCTGCTCATACCAACGCCCTGGAGAGGGCAGCATCAGACCTGTTCCGCCGATGTGAACGGCTGCAGGGAGAAATGCAGGAGCAACTGAAGCAACTCACCGATGTGTCCGAACGAATCAAGGGTGTATCGAGCGAAATTGGTGAGGACGGGGAGCGGAAAGAGAACTCCAGAAGCGGCGAGGCGTTGGATAAGAGACTCCAAGCGGCGAAGGATAAACAGGAGCAGCTTGTGCAGCGATATGAGGCAATTCGTAATAAGGTTCTAAAGTCCGGTGGAAGACCACTTAGCGAGAAGGAGAAGTCATGGGTGTCGGAAGTGGAAACATTGTCAGAATCATTTGGAGATTCGAGACAGGAAGACCAGCATAATAGCCAGCAACTGTCTGAGAGGCTTGAAACTGTGGGTTTTTTTTTTTTTTTTTAGCACCGAGAGTATCATACGATGACGCTGACAAGCCCTGTAGGTGAAGGAAATCGCAGCCGACCTCCTGGCTGAGGCCAAGTCTGTAGCAGCGAAGGCTCCCCCAGCAACGGAGCCTGGCAGCCCGGCATCACCTGGAG